TGAAAGTGTTGAATGATGATGAAAGTATTTTCTTTTTGGGGATTTTCCTTCTTTTTGGGTCACCCTGCCTTGGTGGGAGATGGCCGACTTGTTTAAAAAAAAAAAAAAAAAAAAAAAGGTGAAAATAGAAAAAAAGATATATTGGCAACACTTCTGCAAGTGGCAGGACTCCATGTTGCTGTCACGTGAGCATCCAGTGCCAACTTCTCGGCCTCATATCTCTGTAAGTACTGGCCCTAATTCTTTTTTTTATCCTATAACACTTAGAAAAATGTGCTCTTTCAAAATATTCGGAGCACTTGGGTAGTGAACATATATATATGTCATATTAAGTGAATTGTGATAGATAAGTAACCCATGGAATATGGTTATTCTCTATAAAATGTATTTTTTGTTTATACTTTTGGGTGTCTGAAACAAGTTAATTGGATTTACAATATTTTATGGGGAAAATGGTTTCAGTTTTCGTCAATTTCACATTTCGTCAGACTCTCTGGAATGGATTAATCATGAAAAGGGAGGGTCCACTGCATTAGCAAGTTCAATATTTTTTTTTTTTTTTTATTATCACACTGGCCGATTCCCACCAAGGCAGGGTGGCCCGAAAAAGAAAAACTTTCACCATCATTCACTCCATCACTGTCTTGCCAGAAGGGTGCTTTACACTACAGTTTTTAAACTGCAACATTAACACCCCTCCTTCAGAGTGCAGGCACTGTACTTCCCATCTCCAGGACTCAAGTCCGGCCTGCCGGTTTCCCTGAATCCCTTCATAAATGTTACTTTGCTCACACTCCAACAGCACGTCAAGTATTAAAAACCATTTGTCTCCATTCACTCCTATCAAACACGCTCACGCATGCCTGCTGGAAGTCCAAGCCCCTCGCACACAAAACCTCCTTTACCCCTCCCTCCAACCCTTCCTAGGCCGCCCCCTACCCCGCCTTCCTTCCACTACAGACTGATACACTCTTGAAGTCATTCTGTTTCGCTCCATTCTCTCTACATGTCCGAACCACCTCAACAACCCTTCCTCAGCCCTCTGGACAACAGTTTTGGTAATCCCGCACCTCCTCCTAACTTCCAAACTACGAATTCTCTGCATTATATTCACACACCACACATTGCCCTCAGACATGACATCTCCACTGCCTCCAGCCTTCTCCTCGCTGCAACATTCATCACCCACGCTTCACACCCATATAAGAGCGTTGGTAAAACTATACTCTCATACATTCCCCTCTTTGCCTCCAAGGACAAAGTTCTTTGTCTCCACAGACTCCTAAGTGCACCACTCACTCTTTTTCCCTCATCAATTCTATGATTCACCTCATCTTTCATAGACCCATCCGCTGACACGTCCACTCCCAAATATCTGAATACGTTCACCTCCTCCATACTCTCTCCCTCCAATCTGATATTCAATCTTTCATCACCTAATCTTTTTGTTATCCTCATAACCTTACTCTTTCCTGTATTCACCTTTAATTTTCTTCTTTTGCACACCCTACCAAATTCATCCACCAATCTCTGCAACTTCTCTTCAGAATCTCCCAAGAGCACAGTGTCATCAGCAAAGAGCAGCTGTGACAACTCCCACTTTGTGTGTGATTCTTTATCTTTTAACTCCACGCCTCTTGACAAGACCCTCGCATTTACTTCTCTTACAACCCCATCTATAAATATATTAAACAACCACGGTGACATCACACATCCTTGTCTAAGGCCTACTTTTACTGGGAAAAAATTTCCCTCTTTCCTACATACTCTAACTTGTTCAATAATAAGCATAAAATAAATATACTACTTTATGTACAAAGTATAGTCCTGTTACGGTCGGTATGCAAATACTGTACCATAACAATTATCTGCCAAAATCATATGCACATAATTTCAACATTTTGATTTTTACTGCTATAAAGCCACAAATGAAGGAGGGATAAACATTTGCAGTACTTTATGCTGTCTCAAAGAAGGACAGCAGAATACCCCATTAGTTAGGATGAATGATATAAGTGTATATGTATATAGGTATTGGAGGAAAGTGGGGAGTGTGCAGTGCTTATATGGCTATGGTCATGTAAATGTGCATATTTACGAGCCTAACTGCACATTCATGTCTAAACATGTACAAATGCATTCAAATAATACGTGTGACTTCCCATCTGAGGGGGTAAAACAAACTAAAAGAAAATTAAAGACAGCTTTTAAATTACTTGTGATGCTTCTTTGTGGAGAAAAGGATCATTTCTGTCATTGGTGGATTTCTTCCTTGGCTACAATTGATTACAATAAAGTGTTATCTGGTGAAAAACTACATTTTCTTAATTTATGGTGTTCTGATAGTGACTATTCTCCCCTCTTCTATTCAATCTCTCTATATGCTTCTTTCTGACTAGTAAGAACTGTGATAATCACAATCACTTTTCTACTAGTGATTAATAAGACAATCACTATCAATCTTACTACATTTTACTGAATGCCAAATAACAAAGCACTGAACTGCTTTATCATAGCAAGCTAAAGAAAGGAAATTATTCAATTTTTTTTTTTTTTTTTTTTACTTTTCAAGAGGTGGCATCAGAGTACAAAAAAGAAATTTAAGGCAAGGAGTAAATATTTTTTCTGTCATTAGCAAGGCTTAGGCATAATACAATGAGAACCTAAATTACATATGAATGTTATATTTAACCCTTTGACTGTCGCAACCCCCAATCCTGAGGTGCCTCCTGGTGTCGCAAAAAAAAAAAAAAAAAAAAAAAAAAAAAAAAAAAAAAAAAAATTTACTTTTTCTTATGAAATGATAGAGAATCTTTTCCCGGTTGTAAAGACACCAAAAAACCAAATTTGATGGAAAACTGACGGAATTACGCTCTCGCGAAGTTAGCGACCTCAGCAATATTTACAAATCGGCGATTTCGCCCACTTTGAGCCCTATTTTCGGCTAATTCCATTATTCCAGTCAACCAAACTCATAGCTATTTCTTCAGAACTCCATTTTTTCCATCGCTTGAGTACAAGAAACTGCCCATTTACCGATTTCAACTACCCAATAACATGGTCAGAAATTTGCAATTTGGCCAATTTCACGAAAATTAAAAAATATGACAATTTCAAAATAAGGACCAGAATGAACAATGCAGACATTCCTGGCTCTAAAATAACATTTTCTTTGCTCATCAGTCATGTCTCCAGGCCCCTGTGATATTACTCTTGCTTTTTATTTTGAAATTTTATTCAAACAAAAAATAGAAGATTTACTGTTATGCAGACTACTGCAATACTGTAATAATTGTAAAAATTACATCAACCCATTCATGACTGCGTATTAGAATGGCTATTTGGACATTTATTGGACAATGACATCATTTGTTTACTTTTGAACATCGGCAAAAATCAAACATTTCCCGTACTTTGTGCTCCATTTCCAGGTTCTTTTTATAGTAAAATTAATCAAAATCACCTCTATTTCTATAATATAGTTTCCATTCTATCAATTGAGACCAAGAAAACGAGAATACAACCACAAATACTATACGAAAATAGACCACAAAGTTGGCATTTTAATTAAAAAAAACGGTCGGAGTTTTTTTTTCTCATTATGCACTGTGTGCTCCAGGATTTTTTATATGGTGCACACTGACCACACAGACCCATTCTCTCACATGTGGGCCTACCAGCTTTCTCCTGCCTGATTTGAAGCCGCTAGAATTTATGAGTATATATACGTCAAACACGGTACCTCGTAAACGTATATATACAGCCGCGACAGTCAAAGGGTTAAAAGAAAATTCACTGCATTTCCTAGACAAGATGAATGAGGAAAAGAGTGACGGCAAATGATACAGGTTTTTAGCAAGCATTGTTGTTTAGTAAACAAATGTTCTATATAATAACAAGGAACATAAGAGCTTTCAGGCTCTCTCATTTCCTCAACTTTGTGTGTTTCTTGAATGGGATAATAAAAATTAATAAAAATATCATAATAATATGTAAAGTGTAAGCAAAGGTGAGCAGGCTAGCTGTGCTGATGGCAAGCAATCACCAATTATCATATTTAAGGATACAAGGACAAACCATATAAATGTTGATTTAAAGCCTCAGATTTGCAGTGCTTTGATTCCTAATTCAGAAGCCATGAATACTGCTATACTTTACCCATAATATCACTTAAATTTCAGACATGAGTTCCTTTTGTATGTCATTTCCCTTTAAACACTGCTTTAGTCTCATTAATGCTGATATCTAGTGAGTATATTTTTAATGAAATCCTAGGTTCTATTTTTAATTTAAGGATCATGAACTAAGTCAGAAAAAATGAAGGGTACAGCAAAAAATAAATTGTGAATAATCTAACCTTCTTGCAGGAGACCCTTCAGTAAAAATGTTTGACATAAAATTGAAACACGCGAATCTAGGGGTTATACTGAAGTTGATTAGCGAATCATCAAGTTTGTAATCTTACCGGTTCAAAATGTGGACATGAATTTCAAGAGGGACTGATTACCTCATCTTTTGTATATAGTTCTACTGTCTCCCTATTATGTCCTAGAATCTGTATTGATAAAGCCACTGGATGGCGAAACGTCTACAATAAAGATATCCAGATGTTGCACATGTGTCTTAACTTTCAAAAATTAAATAACAGTGAGGTTATCCTTAGAGACATATACAGTCAAAATCTCTAAATGAAGCAAATGCAATACTGTGTTGATATCGACAGAATTAAATCTGTAATCATGACTGGACATCATTACACCAGGTACCTTGCCTCCATTTAAATATGGATTTGTATTTATGTATAAAAATATAAGACAATAAAAAAAAAGCTTAAAGCTGAGCAAATACTCACATGTATTCAGACAAATAAAAAGGATGAATACAAAATTAAGAAAACTAAGATACTGTACAACAAAAGTGAATTTGATTAGAGTTAATTAAATGGTGCTTGTCTTCTAAAATAAAGAAAATAAATGAAACTGATTTAAAAACAAACATACAGAATGTACAATTCCCTGCTGGTGACAGCTCTGGGTCAAGGTCAGTGGTGGAGACAGGATATAGCGTTGGCGCTCTTCCGGTGATACCGGGGTCTGAGGGTCAAGAACACTAGTTGAAAAGACAAGTCAATGACAAAAAAGAATAAAAGCATATGTAGTATTCATGGATATGACAAATCCTCACCACAAATGCATGTAAAAGTCACATAATAAATGAAGAATGCACTTACGCTGACATTTTAAAACCCACGATTACGTTTTCTTTTTCTTTCTCTTTAACAGAAGGTAGTACAGTACTTTTCATGTTACATACATTATATTGCCAGTAAATTTTCAAATGCGAAGGTAAATATTGGATAACTAAACAATGTTAAATAAACTATAAAATATGAATGCACAATAAACATTTGAATTTGAGCAATATTTGAGAGGCAACTTGCTGACAAGTACGGCAGAAAGAAACCACGTGCAGAGCAAATCTTTATTCATACAATATGTTTCTCTCTAAACAGAGTTTTATCAAGCCAATACTTGATAAACATCTGTTTAGATCTGCACCTTGTCTCATCCTACCACTGAACAAAGTTGATAAGGTGTATGGTGATCTTGGACTGAACGAAAACATTTCACACTTCACCTGTGAGCAACGCTGGCAAAATATAAAGTAATAGGAAAGTACTATTAATATAGGAAAAGGCTATATTTTATTACTGTACATTTGTTTCATGAAAGGGGAGGGGGGGGGGCAGATTTCACTAACTCTTGTGTCAAACATATCCTTGGGAAATGGGAGGCAATCCAAGGACAGGAACAGTAGCTCCAATTCTTTAGATCAAGATTCATTCATTGGGATCAAGGAACCTCCCTTGAAGCGAAAAAAAAAAAGGCCCAAGAGAGAAGAAAAATATCACTAATGTATAGGAGAAACAAAATTCTGAAATACTACTCTAAGTGTATAAGAACATGAGAAGCATATTTCGAAATAGCAATACAGTAGTTGTGAATGATGCACTATCTTTAGGTATGTAACAGTATATTACTGGTAAATATAGTTGCATAATCATTTAGCATATGCAAGTACAGTATGCAATGCAGACTTTTTTAAATATGAGGCCTTTAGGTAAACCTGAAAATAAACACTACCATATAAATACATTTTTTCCTATATAAGGTAGCTATGCCTATAACCTAAAACACTAGTTTTTACATAGGCCTTCAGGTCTATTAATGCATTTCTATTATAATACTAATGCAGAAAAGGTAATGTTTCACTTCTCGTTGCCGTTAGTGTTAAATCACCTACCAACCAGGTGGTCCTCAAAAAGTCATAAGAAATAAAAGTCAATGGATCCCAAGGACTAACATCCATGAGGATGTGTTTTCACACCTGGGTCACTGCTCATTTTGAATGTATGTCCTACTGCTAGTGCAGGCATTACTCCTTTACAAAATCTGTTGTTTTGATGTGACACTGATTGCACACTGCCACAATATGGAAATGAATTTCAGCTAGCATTGTGCCCTTTTCATGCAGAAATCAGATAATTGATGCATACCTCAGTGCTTGACCATGTTTGCACAAGTCCAGCCACCTTGAAACTTGTCTGAGGAATTATGATGGGCAGATGACAGGCCTGAACAGCCCCCACATCCAAAATTCAAATTTAGCTAACTGGTTTGAAATAATTCATGTAGACATTACTATGCTTACACTTCAATAATATATCACACCTCAAAGAACACTTGCACTTATTTACTTCAATCTTAAACAGTCACATGTACCTGCTGAATATTTGGGTTTCTGCCTCCAAGCATACTTTCCCAACCCATCCTCCAACATGTCCTATACCTCATTCTATCAACCTCAGAATTTCAAACCTTCTTAATCAACCTATCTTGTATCCTCTCTTTCAATAATGCTTTCATTACTGCCGTATTACCTTCAAATTTCTTCCTTCTCCTTTCACTGTATATTAGCCCACATGCTTCTCACACTAAGATGTTTTTGTGGCCTTCAATCTCTTTACTGCAACATTTAAAAACCATCGTTCATAACAATACAAGTCAGTACCACTACGGTGAACTTTGATATAATATATACTGTATCCCAATTCTTGTAAATGTTGATAAACATTTCTCCATAAAATGAAATTTCACACCAAAATGAACATAACAAATATGTGTAATGAATACCAAGGATAAATTTAATAACCCCACAGATGTCAGACTCCCGTCACTGAATACACTAGGTTCCAAAATAGGAACCGAGAAATCACCAGTGATGTAAGATTGTCACCAGGAAATTCCATAATGTAATGAAAGTGAAAAACTGCAAGGAAACATGGTCACTCTTTAAAATGCCATTTAGATATGAAGATAGGGACATGCTGAAAAAGTTGTTCACGACATATGTTAGACCAAAATTATAGCATAGACCAGTAGTGTGGTATCTTCACCTTAAAAAAAAAAAAACTGTGGTAGAAAAAGGCCCTAAAAGCTATAAATGGCTCCTGGAGCAAAAACAACACAAATTACTGAACAAAGAAAAACTTAAGGCATTAAATATGATATTTCTGGCTGATCAGAAGATAAGAGGACATGAAAACAGCAAACAAGATTATAAAACGATAAGAAAGAGCTGAAGAGACTTCATAACCCAATCAACTGACAGAATAAGAGGCAATAACTTTAAACTAAGGAAGAAGAGCATTCAAAAAACACTAGAAAATTGTCTGCACATACTGTGGTAGAACAAATGAATGGTTGACAGAGGAAGCAAGTGCTGCAACCATTGGAACTTTAAAATTTATGATAAAATAATGAAGACAGAACACCACAAATTGAGCTTTCTAGTACATAGTTATAAAAGGAATAAATTTAACACCAGAGTTTACAGGATTAACATCCTGATTATAAACCATGCTCAAGCTGTAATTCAGCTTCAGTTTCTCTCACTCAGCCTCTGGATTTTCAATCTATTTCCCACTACTTTGGTAAAAAATTCTTCTGTGTTTGTTCTAACAACTATCAGTTATCATTTATTAAAGAACACTACAGTATAATGTCCTGTTTTAGTTGATATTTAAGAAAATGAATAATGTAAATGGTACTGTAATTTTTCGTGTGACTGTAAATTCTCACTGCCAAAATGAAGCTAAGTGGAATATATAAATAGTACTCATGCTTCACTGTCACATTTGCCTAAGGAGTCAGTTAATGGTTATTTTTACTCCAACAATTTTGGCCCTGTTTTGACCAGAACCTGGACAGTTGACCAGTTTTACATACAAACTGGCAAGGGATATGGCTGAGCATAAGTTTAGATAAAAGAATATTTGTTAATTTAATGATCGCTGTATATATTTACTTGTACAGTCCAGCATTTAAAATAATTAAAGTTGAAAAAAACAACTACAGTACTACATGTGGCATTAACTAGGCCAAGGGTGCCCAACTAATGCATGGATGAGTCTCTATACATTAGAGATTATGAAAAATAGTTTAAAAAAAATTTTATTCAGGATTTTTGTAATCTAAATTTGTAGCAATAAAACCGTTAATACCATGCTGGGGTGTGCACATGGTTATTGAATTATAGCACAGATATGAAAATTGAATGCATGATGGTGATTGCAATGTACACCGAGGTATGCCTGTATACCACCACAAAAAGAACAAAAAGGTACAATACCGCGAGTGGAGCAATACGTAAATAACCCGCACATAGAAGACAGGACTTACGACGATGTTTCAATCCGACTTTGATCATTTACAAAGTCACTCTTTGTAAATGGTCCAAGATGGACTGAAATGTCGTCATAAGCTCCTCTCTCCTATGAGTGATTATTTGGGTATAACACCACATAATTTGTATGAAGACAGATACTAAAGAATTATTTCCATTTCTATGTGAACAATTACAACTCTGATCAACAGAGAATATGTTTCATTCATTCATATTTTATGTGAAGCCCACACAAGATGAAGAACATCAACAAAACTATGGACTCCAAGTTACTCAGAATTTGGAATGCCTTGAATTAGCAAGCAACATGCAACTTTAACATACAAAACTAACCTGGTTACATACAATAATGGCTTTAAGAAATTCATTAGAAAAGCTGTAAACTACAAAACAACCTAATTACATTAGCACAATATAGACCAAAGATTATAAAATACCTGAACACCAGGAAGAACACTGCCTACAGTACATATATGCTATTTTCTACTTGCCCTGAAATACATTAGACTCCATAAAAAATCATAAATTAATGCATAATCTAGCACAATGCACACAGGTGATAACCTGTCCATCACACACATGAAAGGTCAGTTTTAAACATGCACAAATCTGTATGTTTACATACATCACCTTATCAAGAGATTACCTACAGTGGCAATGTAAAAACACTATGGTTATTAACAAGCCTTTTATTTACGACAATGAATATATGTACAATAGAAAACTACTTACAACATAAGCAGACTGTGTACCGATGGGCTTAAGCTGGTTTTGGCCAGTCCCTGCCCCCTCAGGAGATCTTGGAGCTGAAACTGCAAGAGGATGGGGAGAGCCATTACGACTTAACCTCTTGCTTTTCCTCACGCCTTCTCCTGCTGGACGGGCTTCACCTAGAGAATCGCTGGAGTCTGAATTATGACCCTCCACCCCAATTTCGTCTAATTTTCGCTTGCTAACACTATAACGCCTTTTCCCTACGTGATGAAGGCTTTGATCGTTTGAGGAAACTGGTTCTTTGTTATGTTTTAAAAGATTAGTTTTGCCTATGTCCTCTTGAGATGAATTAACTCCCATTTCAGATGTCACATTATGACTAGGTGGATTGGTGGCACTTTCTACTTCATCATCTACTGAACTCACACTTTTTGCTGATGTTAATTGGTAATCACTGAAAGATTGCTGTGCAGACTTTTTTTCACATCCCTTCTCTTCAACTACTAATGTAGCACCTTCTTCAGGAAGCACATCCTCGGTTCCAGGAGTAGCTGAATTTTCCAGTTCTAAAACTGAATCAGCAGTATTACTAAGCACATTAGAAGAAACCTGGGAAATGGCCAATTGTTCTAATTCTGAACGTGAATCAGAAATTTCATTAAGCAAAATAGTAGCCGACTGTACTAATTCTAAACCAGGATCAACATTATCACTAGGCATATTAGAACACTCTGAAATTGCTGACTTTTCTAGCTCTAACCCTAAATCAGTAGTATCATTTTTGTTGCTAGAAAGTTGGGAAGTGACTGATTTTTCAATTTCTAAGCTAGAATTTGCAGTATCACTAAGCACATAAGAAAAAAGTTGGGAACTGCATAAAAGATCTTTCTCTGTTGCTTTATCTTTAATTTCTTGTATAGTTTCTCCAGCTAATTCTGTATGAACAGAGCTGACAGACTGTGAAGCTTCTACAGTCACATTTACAACTTCAGTTTTGCTATTTAAGACTTTGCCTGATAATTCAGATGAAGCCAATGCTTTACTATCTGAAGCTCTTTCAAATGAGTCTACATTAGCATCATCTTCACTGAATGTATTACAAATTGTTTTGTTGGTTGCAAGTTTACTCAAAGCTGCATCTTTAGAAGCAATATCTTCTTCAGTGTCACTTGTCTGCTTGTTAGAGTTCTTACAAATTGCAAGCACTGTTGCTTTGTCAACTGGAGTATGTTTTACAAGTGCCTTGTCATCTGTATCTTCATATCTATCAGAACTTTTATTAATATGCTTATGATACTCATTTTGTACAGTTGCATCTGCTTCACTTTCGCTTACATCAATGGTATCATTTTTTTCTCCACTTAATTTGTCTCTGTTACTCAGCTCCTCTTTTGCAGGGATGGTGTCTGCTGCATCTGTTTCATCAATATTAGTTTTGTCTTTAACAGGCTTTGTTAAGTCTCCAAGATTTGAATATTCCATATTCTCATCATCACCCTCTACATCTACATCTTGAGTTTCCAAATTGTCCATTTCAATGTCTTCATTGTCTGCAGCTTCTGAAAAACCATCATCCATTCCATCTTGTTCTTGATAAGAAAGCTGCTCCGAAGGGACATCTTGTGATGAAGAATCTACTGATTCTATGTCAATTTCCTCAGATACTACTGAGTCTGTCTCTTGAGAATTGTCAAAACTTGATTTTCCTTGGCCTATCTTGCACTTTCCTTTCTTTTTCTTTGTGCTAAATGAGTAGCTCAGTCCTTTGAAATGCTTCTTCTTTTTCTTGCCTGTCTTTGTGAAGAGTGAGTCATCATCCTTTTTCCCTTTAATTGTGGAGGTTTTAGTTATTATTACATTTTCTTGCCTTTTCAACATTTCTGAAGTTGTCTTCTGTTTTCCCTTTTTATTAGGAATAGAAGAATCATGACTACTATCCCGAGACAATGAGAGACGTTGAGATCGCTTTGGTTCAGACTGTGGTGTTGTATCTCCTGTTATTGGTGTCATACTTCGCCTCTGTCGACCAGCTGCTTCAATTTCTAAAGTTCCTTCTTTATCTACCTCAACCTTTCCTCTGCTTCTTTTTCCAAAAATGATGCTTGGTGAGCTACTAGGAGCAGAATTACCACCCTCTTCATTTGCAATTTTTCCTTTCCCACGAATTCGACCCGAACCTGGAGAGGGAGTAACACTTAATGAATCATCCATTTTCTCCCCCTCAACTTTCTGTTTTCCACGTCCCTTGATATCTGTGCCAAAATCATCTTTAATAGCACCCTTTCCTTTTCCTTTCCCACGCCCAACAGAAATGGATACCTCATTCTCAGCAATGCCTCTACCTTTTCCACGGCCCCGACTGGAACCATAGGCTGCAGCTAATTCTGCAAGGGTTAGTGAATCTTCCTCTGAGCTTGAACGAGCTCTGCCTCGGCCTTTGGTGGGAGTAATGGGCGATTCGGTTCCTGAATCATTCCCCTCACCATCTTCTGCCAAAGACTTGCCTTTTCCTTTACCTCTTTTTGTGCTTCGTGACCTCTGAATCCCTTTCTCATTACTGGATGATTCTTCTGTCTTAGAATCTATTTCTACAGCTTCACTCGTAGCTTCTTCACCAGAATCCTTTTCACAACCTGACTTTTTCTCCTGCACACTCCTTCTCTTTCTTCCTGATGATGGAGTGGCATTAGGTATAGTATTTGGAGTAACATTTGGTGTGGTATTTGGTGTAGTACGTGACAAAGGAGTAGTCTCAACACATTCCTTCCTTACTTTCTTTAGAGAACTAGTAGAAAGAGGTACAGTGGCCATAGGTGAGGACAGGGTTGATGTCTGTTGGATAACTGGTATGTCCGGTGTTTTCTCAACAGCATCCAATACTTCACTCTTACGTTTTCGAGTGAGTCTGGAGACCCGAGGATTTTTCTTTATATCCAGAGGCACAGATCCCTCGGGAATGCTAGCTGAGTTGAAGTGACGGGACATTACTTCTAATAACTTATTTTTCTCATCTCCATTCTGAAGCACAGACTCCATTATATCTACCTTACTAACAACTTCTTTTGAAGAAATATCTGAGACTTCCTTTAGACTATTTGAGTCCTTAATTTTGCTACCTTCTACATTTTCATGTAGAGTATTGTCTTTATCTTTTAAAAACTGTTTCTCATTTAATAAATTATCATTAAAGACTTTCTGCTCCTTCTGAAGTTTAGTTTCCTGTTGAGATTTCTTTTTGACTTTTGTAACTTTCAATCCTTGTTTTTTGTCCTTCCCCAATTTCTTCTCTCCACTTCTAGAGCCTCCTTTATGCAGCAATGCTTTTTTCTTTATCCATCTGTATTAAAACAAAAAGAAAACCTTTACTCAACATATATGAGAATCTGGAAAATTTAAACTGTATAATCTGGTCAAAAAAAAAAAAAAAATACTGTACCTTGACATTTATATTTAATCAGTACAACCTTATTAATTTTTTTTATTAACACATCAGCTGTTTCCCACCATGGCAGGTACCCCAAAAAACAAGAAACACTTTCAACATCACTCACTCTCTCACTGTCTTGCCAGAGGTGTGCCTACACTACAATTCAAGAACTTAGGAAAATAAAATTATATTACATGTGATTTCGTGTATAGGGCAAGGAGGAATAACATCTTGTAGGAGCGAGGAAGAGCCAGTTGTGAGTGTGGGGGAAGTTCGTGAGGCAGTAGGTAAAATGAAAGGGGGTAAGGCAGCCGGGATTGATGGGATAAAGATAGAAATGTTAAAAGCAGGTGGGGATATAGTTTTGGAGTGGTTGGTGCAATTATTTAATAAAAGCATGGAAGAAGGTAAGGTACCTAGGGATTGGCAGAGAGCATGCATAGTTCCTTTGTATAAAGGCAAAGGGGACAAAAGAGAGTGCAAAAATTATAGGGGGATAAGTCTGTTGAGTATACCTGGTAAAGTGTATGGTAGAGTTATTATTGAAAGAATTAAGAGTAAAACGGAGAATAGGATAGCAGATGAACAAGGAGGCTTTAGGAAAGGTAGGGGGTGTGTGGACCAGGTGTTTACAGTGAAACATATAAGTGAACTGTATTTAGATAAGGCTAAAGAGGCCTTTGTGGCATTTATGGATTTGGAAAAGGCGTATGACAGGGTGGATTGGGGGGCAATGTGGCAGATGTTGCAGGTGTATGGTGTAGGAGGTAGGTTACTGAAAGCAGTGAAGAGTTTTTACGAGGATAGTGAGGCTCAAGTTAGAGTATGTAGGAAAGAGGGAAATTATTTCCCAGTAAAAGTAGGCCTTAGACAAGGATGTGTGATGTCACCGTGGTTGTTTAATATATTTATAGATGGGGTTGTAAGAGAAGTAAATGCGAGGGTCTTGGCAAGAGGCGTGGAGTTAAAAGATAAAGAATCACACATAAAGTGGGAGTTGTCACAGTTGCTCTTTGCTGATGACACTGTACTCTTGGGAGATTCTGAAGAGAAGTTGCAGAGATTGGTGGATGAATTTGGTAGGGTGTGCAAAAGAAGAAAATTAAAAGTGAATACAGGAAAGAGTAAGGTTATGAGGATAACAAAAAGATTAGGTGATGAAAGATTGGATATCAGATTGGAGGGAGAGAGTATGGAGGAGGTGAATGTATTCAGATATTTGGGAGTGGACGTATCAGCGGATGGGTCTATGAAAGATGAGGTGAATCATAGAATTGATGAGGGGAAAATGGTGAGCGGTGCACTTAGGAGTCTGTGGAGACAAAGAACTTTGTCCTTGGAGGCAAAGAGGGGAATGTATGAGAGTATAGTTTTACCAACGCTCTTATATGGGTGTGAAGCATGGGTGATGAATGTTGCAGCGAGGAGAAGGCTGGAGGCAGTGGAGATGTCATGTCTGAGGGCAATGTGTGGTGTGAATATAATGCAGAGAATTCGTAGTTTGGAAGTTAGGAGGAGGTGTGGGATTACCAAAACTGTTGTCCAGAGGGCTGAGGAAGGGTTGTTGAGGTGGTTCTGACATGTAGAGAGAATGGAGTGAAACAGAATGACTTCAAGAGTGTATCAGTCTGTAGTGGAAGGAAGGCAGGGTAGGGGTCGGCCTAGGAAAGGTTGGAGGGAGGGGGTAAAGGAGGTTTTGTGTGCGAGGGGCTTGGACTTCCAGCAGGCATGCGTGAGCGTGTTTGATAGGAGTGAATGGAGACAAATGGTTTTTAATACTTGACGTGCTGTTGGAGTGTGAGCAAAGTAACATTTATGAAGGGGTTCAGGGAAACCAGCAGGTCGGACTTGAGTCCTGGAGATGGGAAGTACAGTGCCTGCACTCTGAAGGAGGGGTGTTAATGTTGCAGTTTAAAAACTGTAGTGTAAAGCACCCTTCTGGCAAGACAGTGATGGAGTGAATGATGGTGAAAGTTTTTCTTTTTTGGGCCACCCTGCCTTGGTGGGAATCGGCCAGTGTGATAATAAAAAATAAATAATTACATGAAACCATTTACCTGAAGAACATTATAAAGCAAATTGAAAAATTTGAGTTTGGTGTGACTAACATGCAGGAGTAAGAGTAATATTTCTCACAACCAACAGCAATGAGAGGAGGACAGCCAGAAGCCCAACTGAAGTTTGAGGGAAAAATAAAACAGCTTTACCTGTGACTGGTTTCACGGGCACTTCTACTACTACAGCCCAGTTTGAGGTCAGGCCCACACAACCACTATAACCCAGAAGTAGGAAGTAGGAAGCTGCTCAGCTACTTGAAAACTTGTATTTTTATTCCAGTAGTATTTCTGATATCTGATACTATTATGTTGAAAAGTCTTGGGACACTGATGTTGACAATGAGTCGCCAGCAACATCACAAGAGCCAACATATCATTTATGGTACTACCTTGGTCTTTCACTGCCATATAAATTTCTTGCTGCCTCTTTCTCCTGGGTGTGTATTCAAGGAGTTTTGAAGGCTGTGGGTGTATATTCAAAGAGGGCTGGAGGATATGGGTGTTCCATACTGGAGGATGTGAATCTGTGCTGAAAATGTGGATGTTTTTGGGAGGTGTTAATAAAGTTGAACTGACAGAGTATTACTTCTAATAACTTATCAAGACCTCACCTGTCTTTTCCCTTTCCTTTTTTGCCTCTATATCCGCGAGGATTGTTTCCTTTCTGATTACTACCTCCAGTTCTTCCAAGGTTTCCCAAGGATGGACCTGAAAACAAAATGATTAAAGAACAAGTTATAATTATTACTGATACTAAACTTACCTAATTTTTGAGTAAATATAAATTTTCATACAACACACAAGTGTTTCTCTGTCCCAAGGCATACTCTTTAAATGACTGATCAAGAACAAGATAAAAATGACTTTCTTTTTGAAAGAGGTAGAACTAAATTCATACAATACAATGAAGATCAAACCTAAAAAACAAGTTTAAGACTATAAAAGCAGAGTTGATCCAAGCAGGGTACATGGCTGAGCAAAGAAAGCAATCTCACATAACATACAAAGCAAGACAATGCATGCTCTATCTTCCCACAATGCTTAACATGAATAATTTAATTTATATTACGACTCCTCAAGCAAAATTTCAATTATGGCTGGAACCACTCACAAGTAACTCACAATTTACGGAGTAAACTTTAGATGACATTTTTGTCCATCCTGGGCTTGATGTAGTAACAGACCAGGACACTCCAAAGTGTGGTCCAAAATTTTCCCTCAAAATTGTGACTTAGTTGTAAAAATCTAAATTTCTACATTTCTACCATAACTTCACTCTCTTTCTCTGTGCTAAGTCCATCATAATTTTCTTGGCTCAACACTCCCTCCATATAACTAGTAACTCTCGAGATATAAAAACAAAATACCTATACTGTATTTAAATTTCTCTCTACATAGCAATTTATCTATAGTATATCTGCTAATCAAGCTATGTCTGTCATATACAGTATCTACCAAATTATCATATTCAACTCCTAATTACATAATGTGAACACAAGGCCTTTAATAAAATACTGACATGTGAGGTACAGTATACAATGTCAACTCACAGCTTTTAATAAAATAGTGATGTGCGAGGTACAGTATACAATGCAATGCACAAATTCAAATCCACCACCCTACAATACTGATTTAATGTTCCTTTTCCTTGCAGTTGAAATGTTACAAAAGACAATACTTTCTCTTACATACATTATTTGAATAACACATAAGAGCTCACATCATTTTCTTGTGAGGTACATACTTGTATTGACACCAAAGCATTTATCGTTGTCTTACAAAAAAAAAAAAATTCAATTCTTTTCAAATTCGATAATCTATACATTATATAATATGTACTTTCTCCTCCTGATGTTTAAGAAGAATTTCTGCAATCTTTCAGACTTGAACAACTGTACTAACAAACATATCATAAACTTCATTTGACCATCTTTTCTCCCACTCTGAATCAAGGAATTAAACCTAGTCAAGATGCTTCAGGATTCTCAATTAATAGAGTAAAATTCTGGTTTTTGTCAAGTTCGAATACTGTAAAATTCAAATTTCAAATTGTACACCACCACCTGACTTGTTACTTGCTGAGTGAACAATACTCCACATGTTTATCCATTGTTTTTGATGCTTATTTATTGAGTGCGACTGCGAAATAAGCCACCATGGGGCCAAAGAAACTTCAGAGAGCCAGCCCTTTGGTAAAGAAGGTGAGAAACACGATAGTATTCAAGAAAGAGCTTGTATCAATATACAAAAGTGGTGTACGTGTGGCCGAGCTCGCCAGAATGTATGGGAAGGCCAAATCAACAATCAGTTCCATCCTGGCGAAGAAAGTAAAAATCAAGGAAGGTGATGTTGTGAAAGGGGTAAATATGCTAAGGAAACAGAGATCACAAACAATCAAAGATGTGGAGAAGTTGTTGTTGGTGTAGATCAAAAAAAAAAAAAACAGTCAGCAGGAGATAGTGTTGTGGAGGGGATAATTTGCAAAAAGGCAAGGCAGTTGCATGAGGATCTCATAAAGAAAATGCCTGGAACAAGTGCTGCTGTTAGTGAATTTAAGACCAGCAAAGGCTGGTTCAACAGATTCAAGAAACGAAGTGGCATACACAGTGTGGTAAGGCATGGTGAGGCTGCAAATTCAGACAAACGTGTAGCCGGAGAATTCGTTGATGAATTCAAGAAGTACGTAGAGGCTGAAGGATTCCTCCCCCAACAAGTGTTCAATTGTGATGAAACAGGCCTCTTTTGAAAGAAAATGCCAAAGAGGGCCTACATCACGCAGGAGGAAAAGGCACTGCCAGGACACAAACCTATGAAGGATAGGCTAACTCTTTTGTTCTGTGGTAACACTAGTGGGGATTTCAAAGTGCAGCCTTTACTGGTGTATCACTCTGAAAATCCCCTAGTGTTCAAGAAAAACAGTGTCATGCAGAGTAAACTGTGTGTGCTGTGGAAGGCTAACAATAAGGCATGGGTCACGAGTCTAATTTTCATTGAGAGGGTCAATGAAGTGTTTGGCCCGAGTGTGAAGAAATACCTCCTGGAAAAGAAATTGCCACTCAAGTGTCTCCTGGTAATGGACAATACTCCTGCTCATCCTCCATACTTGGAAGACCAATTGTTTGAGGAATTTAGTTTTATCACAGTGAAGTTCTTGCCCCCTAATACTACTCTTCCCATCCAGCCCATGGACCAGCAGGTCATTTCAAACTTCAAAAAACTCTACACCAAAGCAATGTTTCAAAAGTGCTTTGCAGTGACCTCGGACACTGAAGTGACCCTAAGAGAGTTCTGGAGGAATCACTTCAATATCCTCAATTGCATAAGCCTTACAGATAAGACTTGGCAGGAAGCAACTTCCAGGAAGATGAACTCTGCTTGGAGAAAATTGTGGCCAGAATGTGTCCAAGAGAAGGATTTTGAAGGGTTTGAAGCTGGCCCTGACGACCCTACACCTGCTGTAGAATCTATTGTGTCTTTGGGGAAGTCCATGGGGTTGGACGTGAGTGGCCAGGATGTGGAAGAGTTGGTGGAGGACCAGAGGGAAGAGTTAACCACTGAAGAGCTGCAAGACCTTCAACTGGAACAGCAACAGATCGCAGTTGAGAAAATTGCTTCAGAGGAGGAGGAGGAAGAGAGTGGGGAGAATGTGCCTTCTTCAGTGATTAAGGATATGTGTGCAAAGTGGAGCAAGTTGCAAAGTTTTGCGGAGAATTATCATCCTAACAAAACTGTTGCACGCAATGTCTGCAACACGTTCAATGACAATGTCTTGTCCCAGTTTAGGCATCTTAGAGAAACCAGAAACAGGCCTCTCTGGACAGATTTTTATGTGACAGGGGTGCAGTGACTCTCAAGCTGGCCCTAGTGCCAGTAAAAGACAAAGAAGGGAAGTAACCCCAGAGAGGGCTTTGATACCTGAAGTCCTTATGGAGGGGGATTCCCCTTCCATATGCCAACAAGAGTCTTCAATAAAGGTATGTAATAGTGATTTAAATATTCATTTATCCATTAAAAATTAGTGCTTTATATTTATTGATCATTGTTTTCTGTATGTAAATTATAGTTATTCTCTATAAAATGTATTTTGTGTTAATATTTTTGGGTGTCTGGAATGGATTAACTGGATTTACATTATTTCTTATGGGAAATATTACTTCAGTTTTCGTCCATTTCAGATTTTGATCGACCTTCAGGAATGGATTAAGGATGAAAACCGGGGTGCCACTGTATGTATATACAGTCTATACATGATAGGATTAAAAATGGTTGAAAAACTCAGGAAAGGTTACTCTGCTGCTGATCTGTTGTTAAACCTCTCCACTAAGTGGCACTAGTCATTGGATGAATCCAAAGTCAGCTGTGTGGTAGCACTGGACATTGCTGGTGCTTTCAACCGGGTGTGGCACCAGGGCCTCTTAGCAAAACTGCAAGCACTGAGAATTGTAGGCTCTACACTATGTCTCCTCAGTGATTACCTTCATGGTAGATCTTTAAGGGTAGTTCTCAATGGAACAGAATCAGCAAGACATCCTATTGTGGCAAGTGTTCCACAAGGAAGCGTGCTGGGACCATTGTTATGGAATGTCTACTTCAACGACCTTCATCTCATCCCAGAATCCCATGTATATGTAGACGACTGTACACTGACATTCCCTTATCCAATAGAACAAGAGAAGAAATGCCAGCTGCTCTAAGCTACATCAATCACCAGCTAAGAGCTATATCAGCTTGGGGAAACAGATGACAAGTAACATTTGCACCTGAGAAAACACAAATGATGGTCTCTAGGCACCATGATGGTAATGCCGGTGCAGTAGTAAGTATGAATGGGAGTGTATTGGTACCTGGGGAAGAAGTTGATATCCTTGGGGTGAAATATGACTCCATGAAGAACCACGTTGTAAATCTTGCAAACAGGGCAACCAGGAAGCTTACAGCACTTCTCCATATCTCGCATCTGTTTGACAGTAGGGGTTGCAAGATTCTGTATGAGGCACAAGTATGCTCACACCTTTAGTATGTTCCACTTTCTTGGTTTGCCTGCCCCCCTCTCATCTGTGACTGCTTGACAGAGTAGAGAACAGAGCAAGACGTCTCATCTCTCGCCTGGACCCATCCTGGATAGATCTGTCACTTCAGCAGAACCTTCAACACAGGAGGGATGTGGGTGGCCTTACTGTTATGTACTAGGTCAAAACTGTCAAAGTACCACACTTGGATCCACTTCGAGGACAGTAAGAAGCAAGCTTCTATACCACAAGATGGGCAGAAAGCAGCAACTTCACTCTTGCTGTACCCTCCTCCAGAACATCACTTCATCTGAGATCATTTATCCCCAAGATGACTCGAGTCTGAAACACATCCATACAGCATTATGATGTCAATGAGATAAAGTCAGTTGATCAAATGAAAATGCTGGCCCACAGACAGCTCCAACTTCATCCTGTCAACATTTGTGTCATTATCAGTTATTGCCCTCTTTGGATAAGAAATACAGTAATACGAATAGTATCCATGTAAACCACACACACTAAATAATTTTCAACCAAAAAGCCCATCTGAAAAAATACACAAGTCATCACAAAGGAAGTCCACAAACTCTCCTACAATTCAGGTAAAACAAATTTAGGAAAATGGTTGGAGCCAATGTCCCTTAATGAAGTTCTATGTTGGTGGTGCAGCTTGTCTAACCCCTGCCAACAACCAAC